CTGGTCTATAAACACACTCCAGAGGCCAGTGCTCCTCCCAGCATGGGTATGCTCAGTGACAAGGCAATCGCAGGTAGGATACTCGGCTCTCAGAAGAGCCTCAGCCACAAGGCATCAGAGGCAGAGAGCCATCCCAGGAGAACCCAGATACCAAAAGCCCAGGAGACAGAAGCTGGCTTCTAGGACAGAGACTAGGCTGCAGCTTCACCATGACAGCACACTCATACCAGGGCTGGATTGAATAGAACATCTAGAGTCGTCTCCTAATGTGCTCACAATGAAGGTCTACTTGGATTCTGTGGGTGAATACATGTTCTTGAAGTGTACCTGGAGGGTATGGATCCTGGTTTCTAGGGCTGGGCTCAGGGAACAGAAGAAATGAGTTCCTGCAAAGGTCTAAATATTTGCATGTCTTGAAACTCCAGGATTTTTGGAGAGTACACACTCTAACTTTCTACCTACGAGATATTTGAAGATCTCTTTTCATCACTGATCATAATTAAGTGGGAGAATTATTTATTTCTAGTTTGTTCCCTGCTTGACTTGAAAGGGACTTTATTGAACAGTGCAAGGCTTACTGCTGCATCTCCTTGGAGAAGCTCCCCTCCCTATGCTTCACATGGTCTTGATAAGCAATAGAAGCTTGTGTAATGAAGGGTTGGATAGAAGTCACAGGAGAACTGCCCAGCAAGCAAGCAGAATGAAAAGCCAACCTGCCGGGGACCAGAGAGACAGGCTGGGCTCAAGCCCTCTACTGAACCTTGAGTATCCTAACACCTAAAGGAGACATGAAACATTAATGGAGCCCAATTATCTGCTCAAAGGGACAAGGCAAGATGGCATGAACCGGCAAAGCACCGCAAAGCAAGGCCCAGAATAGCTGAGACTTGAAAAACGGCAAAGGATGACAATGGCTTTTTCAGTTCTTCTCCAAATGAGGACCAGGAGGAAGAGGTCTGTGGCTTGCTTGACGCTGGCCAAAGACAGAGGACGCAAGCTCCTCGATGCCTTCTTATTCCCATCTTCCTTACGAAGACGAATGATCTTCAGAGTGGGAAGAAGCAGTTACTGGGAGGTCAGTGCTCACTGTGCACAGGTGCCAGTAGGAATGGCATCTTCTCAGCCACTCCCAAGTCCCCGGTCAGAATCTCGGTGGGAGTCACAGACACACCCAAGAATCAAAGATGAAGGAAAATAGTGGACAAGAACCAAGTTCCAACAGGAAGGCCATAAAGATGAGAGGGAAAAAGGCTCAGAGGGTAGGACCCACCGGCCTGGGTTCAAGTCTAGTTCTGGCCCTCAAAAGGGCTCTGACCCCAGGCCTCTTCCTCCCTATAAATATGGCCCTAGCAACTCTTCCTACCATGTAGGCGAGTGAGATGGAGCTGACAAACTAAATAAGATGTGAATCGAAAAGTTCTCACTATTTCTAGAACCTGCTTCTGGAACACAGAAGTCACATAAACACATAAGAAGAAGACAGAGCCAGGAAATCATGTCAAATGTAACAGTTTTGTGATTCTTCATGCTAGCTGACACCATGGGACAATCATCGTGTCACACAAACATCATGTGGTGTGGCCAGAGCTTGTCACACTTCCCACAGTGCAGAAGGAAGGCAGACATTAGAGATTTTGTGGGAGGAGAACTAGAGATGGCTCTCCACATTTTCACTTCTTGACTCTATACACTTATGATGGTTAGACGATAAGTTTATTTTATACGTATTTCCACAATGAAAAAGTGTTTCTTAGAAACTGTTGAGTGTACTGTTAAGTATTAGAAAACGAGCCATTTTCAAAGTGTGGTCCTTCCTGTTGGTGCTGCTAAGAAATACATGGAGTGTTTTTAGCAACTGCCACATAAAAATAAGCAGCTTAAGCTAGGAATGAGATAATCAAACAGGAACGACAAATCCTCTTTGCCAGAGAGCAGTAAGAGGTCAAGGAAAGGCACAGCTAATCTCTATTCTATACATTAGGCCCCTTGTAAGGAACTGGCAACTCTGGGCCTGTATCAGAAATTAGGAAGCAAGAAGGAACAGTATGGCATCTTGGTCCTATTCAACCAAATATTCTAAGAAGGCTTCTTAAACATAACCTCACACACTGAACTTGGTTCTGGGCATATGGGAGGGGAAGACGATGGTCTGGAGGAAGGCACTGGGAAGGCCCCTTGCATGCTCCTGTGGGGCTCCGTGCTTGCCTGGAGACGAGCTGATCCACTCTCTCCCAGGAAGGGAATGGCCTTTGTACCGCACTGCCAGAGAGCTGTACACCGCAGGCCTGCTCACCACAGACTCCCAAGTGCTGTGTGTGTGCCAAGAGGGAAGATGAACATTGCACTTGGACACACTTGAAAGAGGGACTGTGCCCTTGTGTTCCCCGAACACCCCCCGCCCCAGAGCGTCGGCTTCCTTGATTTCCACTCAGTTGGTTTCCTTAGTTTTCATGTGAAATCAATGTCCAGAATCAGAAGGAAGACAGTATGCTCCATGTCTCTGCAATCCAGGCTCGCTGCTACCTTTGCTATTTGACATTTTTTTTTTAGCAGAATACAATAATACTATGCATGTTACATGCATTGCACCACCTAACCTCAGGCTGAAGTACCATTCATGTCACTTGCTACATTTTTACAGAAATGCATTTATATGCAAACTTACCATTTTCCTTTAGGGTTATGCAATGTCTTGAAAGCATGAAGACTCTTACTTCTCATTTATTCTTGTTATTCAAATAAAGGAAAGACTGCACCTCCACACTCTCAGCTATTTAATTGGCCTCAACTTGACTATAGGACAGAATGTATCGTGGGATCTATCCTGTCTCACCAACTACAAGTACAGTCAGTCGTGGTCGCAGGCATTTCCTTTCCACTACGACTTCTCTCTGTTGTACTTAGTTTTGCATGGTTCCTATCTAGGAGTTGTCTGCTCTGGTTCTACATCTACAGTTGTAAGCTGCCATGTGGGCGCTGGGAATTGAACCCAGATCCTCTGGAAGAATAAAATGCTCTTAACTGCTATCTCTCTAGCCCTCAAGTGTAAGTCTTAATCATGTAAAAAGTTTCCCACTATCCTAAACCTGATTTTCACTTCAAATAATCACATTTGCAAGTAAGTGAAGGCCTCATTTCTCTTTATGTTTACTGCTTTAAAAAATTTGCTTATTTTACACATAGTGGGTCAGATCTTGACTGATCCTGGGTTATCCAGGAGTTAACTAGTACTTCCCCATGCATTAATTTTCTATTTCTTCTGTGACCAAATGCTTGAAAAGAACCAACTTATGGGAGGAAGGGCTTTAGAACTTTCTTGGCTTCCATTACTTTGAACTTAATCTCCAGCTGTCTTTGTTGGTTCTATGGCTGCACCGCCATGCCTTTCTTTGGTTCTCCCTGTGTTACATGCTATGTGAAGAGAAGGACTAACAACAGCTAATGTCACAGGTGTGCTTGAAAGTTAAAACTCCTCGCAGGGCAACAAACAGTTGAATTCAATATCAAAACATGATCCTTTTTCCATGTAAGTCCTGTTTCAGGTACTGTGACACATTGGAGTCCTAGCTTTCCCTTGCTGCTACGTAAAATAATGAAAAGAGCTCTCTTTAGGAAGCCATCTCTACCCACCGTCTATGGAGTAGTTGAGATCAGAATGTAAAGGTAATGGATAAGAGATAAGCTTTTGAGAATTCTTTCAGTTTGATTACAATTTTATGATAAAAGGGTTAAGCATAGACTTCTAGATCATTTGTCAGCAGCACGGTGTGTTGAGTTAAAATTGTCCTATATTTCAAACCAGTCCTAACAAACAGGTACTCTTCATTTATATTATCTCACTGGAAACTTTCCTGAAGTGCGAATCTGAATTCGTTACAGACAATCCTGACTCTTTTATGAGCTGCCCAAAGCTCTAGAAGACACTTATTTGATTACATGATACACCTCAGTGTTTATTTTTGCTAAATGTCACCCTCATTTTCACTAAACAATTAAAAAATCTGATTCCTCTGGTTACCAGCTCAAAAACATAATGATTTCTTCGACTCATGCGGACTTACCAGTGCCTTTTCTCCAGTCCACGCGAGAGCTGAGTCTTCACTTTGGATGAGTTTCCATTTCTTAGATCTCACTTACCAAGTTAATTTTACACTCATTTATACACATTTCCTTCTTCCCCACAGTGACCCTCTCAAATATTTAACAATATATAAGGGGTAAGATAAGGGGAGGAGAAAAAAAGAGAAAAGGAACCAGAGATGCCAAGGGTACACATGTGTAAAACTAGCATAACTGAAGATACAAAAATGCCCAAATATAAAGGATTCTGTTGTGGGGTTACTAAAATAAATCCAGCAGTTCCCAGGATAGAAAGACCCTCAAATGGTAAAAGAGAGGATTCCCATGTGGAGGGACCTCAACAGGCAATGGTCAATTGTCTTTATGTAGGACTCAAAGCCCTCGCAAAGTAAGAGGTGAATCTCAGATAATTCGCACAAACAGAATTTAACCTTTGACTCACTGAGGTTTGCTCACTGAAAGAAAATATATAATGATTTGTATGTTAGACCTTACTGACCGTAAACGAAAGAGAAGATCCTAGAATCTTATTTTATTGATGGCAAGAACATCTTACATTATATAGCTGAGTTTCTGTACCCCCAGGATTCACATTTATAGGTTGAACAAGCACAGATCAAAAATACTGGGAAAAATTTCACCCGTATTAAACAGATACACATTTTTTTCTCTGTGTCCTTAAACAATACAGTGTGACAAGTGTTTCGATGGTGTCGTACTCTATCAGGAGTGATAAGCATTCCAGCAATGACGTACAGTACATGGAGGATGGGCACAGGCTCCAGGTTTTAGTCTATTTTATACTAATGACTTAGTCACCTCCACATTTTCCTATCTACAGGGGATCCTGGAACTGCATGGATACCAAAGACCACTATGAAGTTCTCACGCAGCTGCACATAGTTACAGTCAGTTCTTACCTGGTTGGCTTCTTGATTGAGATGAAAACCCAGTCCGGGCTAGGTTTTGCGGTTTAGACGATGACTGCCCCACTTTGTCCTAAAAAAGAAGACAACAAGAGTGAAAGGAGGGACTGTACCCACCACCACTTCCTCTTGCTCAATTCCTTCTTCCATTCCATTTATTTATTCCTTTTTCATAGTTTTAAGTGAGTTGAAAATGTGCCACGGAAGGGAAACCGATCAACGCAAATGGCAAATGGAAATCCGTTGTCAAGGGAGTTGGAAGGTGCCCCTTTTGTTTTGTTGTAGATTTCCCTGAATGGTAATTTACAAAGGACAACTGCTGACTGTGAAGTCAGTGTGCTCTTCACAGGGAATGAATGTCAATAATCAACACTCTACGAAGCACATGGCACTTTCTAGAATTGCTAGGTAAGCAATCTTGGACTTCCTGGGAGTACAGAAAGGTAAGAGCTCCTTGCAAACAAAGGACGAGGGGTTCAGTGGCTGTCAAATGAAGACAAAGTTTTAGGCAGAAATTCAAACAGCAGATCCAAAATTTGAGAAAAAAACATCTTCAAGCCAACGAAAGAGACATTAAAATATGGGTAGAAATGTGCCACTTTATATCTGCACATTTACAAAAAAGAGCAGTGATTAACTTTTATTAACAACCTTTTAGAAATCTGTAAAATCTGTGAATGTTTTTGAAAACACATATACTATGTCTGTAATTAGAAAGGTTTTTTGAACTGTGCCAAAAGCACTGTGTGTTCATTTAAGCGTACTTATTAATATATACATATACATATATAAAGCACTGTGTTCATTTAAGCGCACTTATTAACATATACTCAAGCAGAGTGCAGATTCCCTCTCACAGTGGGGTTATACACCAATAAATTCATCACAGACGCACAGTATCTGAGGTGAAAAGTGCACTGAACACATCCAACCAACGTCACATTGTACTTGGGACATGGCGCACTATGGAGTACTTCTTGTTTCTCTTGTGAGCACGAGGCTCAACTCAGCAGGAACCGTGACTCATACTCACTACCCCGCATAGCAAGACGGCATCCTACTACACAGCATTAGTTCAGGAAAAGATCCAAGTTTAAAATTCAGGATGCCTGTGCTGAATGCATATTGCTCTCACACAACCACGATGTCAAAAACGTATCTCAAAAGTAAGCCTGGCATGCTTGAGTTCTTGCTCTCCCAGGTATGGGTGTGGTTCACAGCAGGGACATGGGTGGCACAGAGATGTCAATCACCACCCTCAGTGCACCGGGGCTGTCTATAAACTAGGACATGAGAAACCTGGCTAAATACCCTCACTCAGTCCTTCCTGCCCAATCACCTAGATGGCCTAGGAAGAGCACACTGACTTCACAAAGGTGCCAGTGTGGTAGGATTGGGTGTGTGGCCACACTCCGTTGCTTCAATGTGCACTGGCCGGAGGCTTTTCTGTCTAGAACCTTCTGAAAAGCTCTCTTGTAAAGTGCAATCTGAGACTGATGCTAACTTTTCCTGGCTCACAAACACACCAATGTGTAAGTGGGGAGCTAAGGTATTGCTGTGTGTGTGTGTGTGTGTGTGTGTGTGTGTGTGTGTGTGTGTGTATGTAAGAAAGGTGCCCTGAAGAAGAGATACCAAAGGCCAGCTCACCCAAAGGACTCACAAACATACTTCAAAGGAAGGCAAATTGCTTCCACACCTTCTAAGTACTGGTGCCTACCTCCTTCCTCTCAAAAGAAATTGTTTCTTTAGAATTTAGTTACAATATGAGGGAAAAAGTTAAAATAAACCACACTCTAATCACATACCAAAATATTTAACCTATCTGCATCCCATTCTTTTTTAAAAAAAAGGAAACATATCTATATACATCATATGTATATAGATAAAATATAAGTTTTTGGAATAACATAGGCCAAATGATCCTAGTTTTTAAAGAAGGAATATACAATCATACTTGATATAGTAATGTTTGACATTTTTTGGTCAACACATGTAATTGCCATTGGATGAATTTCTTCATAGATCCAGCATGTCCCACCCCATAGATATTAATTTATTTGGCCAGTGTCCTACTGATGAACATACAGTCTTCTAAGAATGCTTGAATCCAGTTTGTATCTAGAATGTTCCACAAAGGCCTATGTGTTGAATGGGTGGTGATGCACCCTTTAGGAGACAGGGCCTAGTGGAGAGGAGACTAAATCTCTGGGATATGTCTTTGCATGTGACTTTGGTACCCTGACTCCTCTGGCATGTGCTTCTGCTGTGGAAGTACACCCCTGCCACAAACCCAAAGAAGCAGGGCAACTGACCATGAAGTGAAACCTCCGAAACTGTGGGCCACAATTCCTTTTTCTTGTTATCTCGGTAATTTTGTTATATTAACAGAAAACTGACTAACAGGTTTTTCTATTATATAGGAGACCGCCAAAGACTTAAACATTTCTCCCTAGGCCTGACCCCTAGAAGGTTCCACCCTCCCAACAGTGCCTCCCAGGAGAGCAAACCCTTAATGCGGGCCTTGGGTCAATAAATACCTTGCAAACTAAGCAGATCTGCCACCCAATCCTTGCTTTTTCCTGCTCTAGGTTGCTGTGCACACATTAATCCCTTCACATACATACACACGCATGCATGCATGAGTGCACACACACACACCACATGTCTCCTACCCATCAGCTCGCACATCTGTCTACTTTTGGGCTGACACGCTGCATTTTCCATTTGTACATCCTGCCAACAGGTTCATCATCAGCAGAGTATTTCCTTTCTCTCTTCCTTTACATGAGTATCTTAGTCATTTTCTTCAAGCAAACTTCTGAGCTAAGAAAGATTTAATAAAGGTTTAGAAAAGTCACAGAGCACATAGCTTCATAGCTAGAAGCTATACCGTACAAACCAGGAAACTCAATCAGTTAGCTTTGTATAACTACACTCAAAGATGTTTATACAACGATAACATTGCCTAAGAATTAATTTATTAAAATGCATCCACAACGTGACTTTAATATCTAAGGTTTGTTTAAAATATTAAAATGTCTCATCTGAAATATGTCTTTGAATGAGTGAGTACTTTTATCACTCATGGAAGTACTGCTATTGGATCATTAGCCTGTAAGTAGTTCACATGGACCAAGATATATAGACCTATCATTTCTAAGAGTAGAAGGGACTGAGTTCTAGTGGCCCACCCAGATTTCATACAGTTTTTCTTATGAAATATATGCCTTCCCAATGGACATGACCCTACCTGATAGCACCTGGTTATGTCCTGTGACTCAAAGCACCATTTTCACTGACAAGTCTCAGAAATCATAAGCAAGCTGGGTTATACTTTCTTAAAAGACAAGCAGCCTGCAAACAGAACTAAGGCAAATAGTCTAAAGCACAACTACGAATAGAAATACGCCATGTCGTTAAATCTGTGTTTCAGATAGAAAACTGTTATTTGGAGTAAGTATGTAACCAAGTATTACATAGGACTTAACCTAAACACTTGTAGCTTATCTACAGCTTCGCTGGGCAGTCTCTACTTTTATCTGGCAACACTCATGTATGTCTCAAGCACTGTTTAAAATGTGATGCAATCACAAAATCTCACTAAGAGGTGCATGTGTTTGTAAAATCCCCAGATGAAAAAAGAGAAAGTCACTTTTTAAATTAAACAGGTTAGAACTTCAGATAAGAATTCTGTTCCCATGAGAAGCCAAGAAGACTTGACTCAAGATGAGTGACCCTTAGCTGAAATGCCTGGAACCAATGTTTCACACATGCCTTTCCCTCACAGTAACCTTATTACTTTGTATTACTTGTATACAGCGTCAGGGAGCAGATTTTTTAATTGTGGTCTTATGGTGTTTTTTTCCCCCTAAAGTTTTAAATTTTATAGTAGTTCAGATTTCAGAATTTTTAATTAGGGAAAGTCAACCTGTTATTAAAAGTAATGGCATTGGTAAAATGAAATCAACCCCCAAAGGCAGCAGAGTAAAGTTACCTACTGGGCACAGCATTGACACCCGGAAGGTCAAGAGCAAACGTCTGCCCGCCATTTCGAGGCAAGCAAGGTCATGCTGCCAGGAATAAGGGAATGGACGGGGAGGCCAGACTAAAGGTTTCCTCTTCAGGTTAGTTTCTGTTTATCTGTGTGTCTGCTTGGAGCCTCCTAGCCTCCATGGAGATAGAACCGGGCAGGAGAGAGAGAGAAGGTGGCCTTGTGGTCACAGCCTCCTTCCCTCCCTCATACGTAGGGGGCCTGGGAGTGTGAGCAGAAAGCTGGGGTTCTTTGAAGGACAAGATAACAGTAAATACTATTTAGACGATGGTTCTTAATTACTATGCTGTCTGCCTCCAGAAAAAAGTGGGAGGGTTGGGCATGTGTTCTAAAAGTTCTTTACCTGAAGCCGTCCAGGGCACTTTCAGATGCATGTGGATTTTGGAAGTACTTGCTAAAGTCTAAGACTGACCTGCCAAGCAGATCGGAGTAGAAACATGCCTTTGTGAAAATGGAACAGGAAAAGCCCACCATCTCTTGGGTGGCCCAGCCTGGGACACTGAACTAAATGGTGGAATGGGACTCACACAGAACCCTAAAATTGGTAGGGACGGTGAAGATGGTCATCTCCATTCTGTCTCTGCATTAAGACAGCAAGACTGCCTGGGCTGCACCATCAGACCCCTGGACCTTCAGCTTCAAGAAATGGTGGCCAACGGAGCCAGGTAAACCAGGGACAGACAAGGGCTGGCTGGGGGCTTGGTTGTCTTGATTGACTGCATGTTTCATAAACCATATATTAGTTTGCTGTGTGAAGGCCCCTTTGGGATTCTTGTTGACCAAAGGTCGGTGCCCACCCGCATCCAGCATGCTGCTGAGACCCTGCCTGGCCTAGCGAGCAGGCAGCTTGGTTTCTTCTATTCTGCTAAGAGTCCATGAGGTTCAAACCTTGGGGAAGGAGGACAAACAGCAGAGGTGGGTGGGAGCCCAAATCAGGGAAAGGCCCACGCCTGCTGTATGCTGACCATCTACCTACTAGCTGTCAGCCCTCCATGAGGTCTCGGTTTACAACCAACCTTTGG